GTTGAGGGGCTGAAAAACCAAACTGAGCTGTGGACAGAATCAGAGGATAGGAGAAAATGTCAAAAATTTGAGTTCACAGACCATCAAGGAAAAGGAACCTAGTAAACATCCCAGGCTGTCAGTTGAACAATAAAGGTTAATAAATACTCTAGGAATAAGAATGAGCTGGAAATCGACGAGAGATGAAACTGCTTGAGGACGGGGCCTTCATAAAGGCAAAGCTGAGCTTTGAATCCTCTTAATCTCTGGCTAAACCCACGTTGGATTATGTACGCCCAGAGCCTAGGTGCTCATCATAAGCACACATATATTCTCTAAAAGAAGATAACGTAAAAAGTGTCAGATGATAACTATCATTTTACATACAAGATATGCAGCGTTCAATTACAAAAAGTAACCAGAATATAGGAAAACAAGACCTGACTGAAAAATCAGGAGGAAAAAAAGCAGACAATAGATGCAAACCCACAGATGATCCAGCTGTCAGACATGGACTCCAGGAGTGCCATGATTGAAGAACTAAGTGACAAAATGGAGACGTAACAGTAGTAAACTGGAATTGTTTTTTAAAAAAGTGAATTCTAGAACTGAAGACAGCCACCCAGTTAAAATGTGAAGAGGCAAAGAGATGAAAAAGGTAGAAAAGAATGCAAGAGACACATGCAACATAGTGAAAAGGCCACAGAAGACAAACACACAGAGAGAAGGAGACACAGGTAATAGTTGAGAGAGAATGATCGAGAACTTTCCAAAACAGACAAGAGATATCAAATCGTAGATTCAAGGAGTGCTGTGAAGCCATGGAAGGAGCATCACGAATTTAAGAACTGCTGAAAACCACAGATAATGAGGAAACCTTAAAAGCAGCCTGAGAAAATTGTTTAAAGGGGTAGTAATAAGACTGATGGCCAACTTTACAAAGGAAATATTGAAATCTAAAAAGACAATGGACTGATATCCTCAAAGTGGTAAGAAAAACCAATAATCAACCCCAAATTCTATATCCAGTGAAAATATCTTTCAAAAATAAAGGTAAAATAATGACTTGTCCTAGAAGCAAAAGAACCTGGATTTATTGCATGCAGATTTAGAATAAAGGACATGCCAAGTTCCCCCAGTGGAAGGAAAGTGGCTCCAGTGAAAGCACAGGGGTGGAGGAAGGACTGAAGAGCAATAGAACAGTAAATATTAAGTAAAAGAAAATTGATATTAGTAATAATAATTTTTCAGATTAAAAATCCAGAGAGCATTAAAATGCATTACAGCAGAAGAACAAAAGGTGGGAGAAATGTAAAATGCAGTGCTGATGTGTTCAAGTGCCTTTGCATTGTCTGAGAAGTTATGAAAGGGAAAACTTATATCATACTTCAATAAATCAATATTTCAATTTTTATCATCTCTAGGACATTATGCCAGGAAAAGATGAACTAAAATACATAAATAGCAAGCTAATAGAAGTAAAATGGAACAAAAATAATATCTATACTTACTGTATTTTGCCATGTATAATGTGCACTTTTTGCCCAATTTTTTTGAGGGAAAAATAAGGATGTGTATTATACATGGGTATAATGATTACATACTGTTGGCATAATCATCCTGTGTATACTGCAAACAGAAACAGTGTGTGTGTTATACACAGCAAAATATGGTAATTCAAAAGAAATAAAAAACAAAGAGAAAAGCTATCAAATGTGTGATGAATACAAGATGTAGTAAGATGGCTGATTTAAGCACAAACGTATCAAAACATTACATGTATAATTTACTTTTTTACTAATATTTTACTAAATATTTCAATTAATCTGAATGATTCTATTTATATGAAATTCAAAGCAGGTAAAACTAATTGATAATACTAGAATAGTGTTTACACTTGGGAGGATAGTGACCAAGAGGGATCATTTGATGTAATTATTGATATGGTTAGAATTAAGCCTACCATCCTGTATCATTTTCTATTTAACTGTTTTTTATTTCTTTGTAGCTCCCTATATTAACTGAGTACTTATAGAATCTTATTATATATTCTCTATTGATTTCAGGTTTTATTTTTTTCTAATGGTTACTCTAGACATACCAACATGCATCCTTAACTTATTCATGCCTACCTTGAAATATTATATTTCTTCACAAATAATGTTAGAATTTTTGAATTTTATGCCATTTGTTTACATATCTTCTTTGTATTCTTATTGTCATCTATTTTACTCACATTTACATATGTTGTAGATCTCATAATATATTGCTATTAATTTTGTTTTAAATAGCCAACAATATTTTAAAGAAATTTCTTTTATGTTTACCCTTTCTGGCCAACATTTGTGTCTTCTGTGGATCTGGTTTTGCTGACTGTTTTTCTATTAATTATGAGGTACTTTTCACTGCTTGTTAGCATAGCTCATGATTTTTTATTATATGCTGAACATTGTGTGAAAAACAACAGTAGAGTGTAGCCAATGACATTTTCCCCTGAAAAGTTCATGCTTCTTCCTAGGTTAGGCCGCTGGGTGGAGGCCAAGTCAATCTCCTCTGCCGCTGAGTAGGGTCTGGCCATTTCTGAAGCTTTAGTTAGATTCATTTTGCCATCAGGTTCAAATGTCACGAGGCAAGAAAGGATTATCCCCTTAGCAGCTCTTGGAAATTTGCCCACTGAATAACATGTCTATTCTTCACATGGGAAGTTTATGCTGCCAACTCTTTGGATCCCTAAGGAGTTTTGGTTTTTTCTCTCCAGCACTTTCCCCACCTTTCTGCAACTTGGAAGGGCTCCTTCCGCCCTGAGTTTCCTCCCCGGCCTCTGACCAGCCGTTGCCTTACACTCAGTGAAGAACATGAGGGAACTTATCTCCGCCCTCCTGTCCTATCCTTAGCCTTTGGTTGGATGCCACTCTGGTTCTTAAGTTAAAATTCATTGTAGTTTTTAAAAATAAAAAATTCCATGACAGTGTTACAGCAGATGTACTTTGCCACACATGGCGTCTAACCTTACTATACAATTCTATGTGTAATTGATCAGTAAAAAAAAGTTTATATCATTTTCTAACCTGAGGCAAGTATAAATTTCTCAGGTGAACTATATTACTAAGTCAATATTAAATCCAGATTCATTTTAATCCAATAATGCACTAAAAGAAAATGATCGATAACATTAACAAGCATTATTATAAAAACAATCATGTACAAACAAAAATGTGCAGTTTCTTTTATCTGGAAAACCATGGTCAAAATTCCAGTACTTGGCCGACTCATGTAACTATAGGTTCAAATGGCCAGAAGCAGACACCTGGCCATGTTGTGCAAGGCCGTTCATCTTTTGAAGGATAGGCAGGGTCTCGTTTGCTGACCCTGAGCACTGAGTGGACACAAAGTATGGGCCCACTCATACAGGGCTACATAAATATCTTTGAGGGAACAATGAACTTCCACAAATAACTTTTACCCGATAAAACTCATGTATCTTAAGTGCTATAACTGGCCAAGATCCCGCTGGCATTTCTCCCAATGAAGAATATTTTCCAAGAACTCATGGGCAAGATGTACTCTGGGGGCCTCTAAACTGTTCATCCTACTCAACACACAAGTCTTGGAAGGGCAGCTTCCTGCCTTCCAGGTCTCTCTTAATGGCCTTAGATCGCCTCGCGTGCCCTGAACCCAAGAATCAGGCCGAGAGAGTTGGGGTCTCCATGGAGCGCTCGGGGCTTGCTGTGGTATGCGGGATTGAGGAATTCTCCGTGGAGGCTGCCCCACCTTCTAATAAATCAGCTGTGACCAACTGTAGACCAGATGTTACCAGCTGTAACCAGATGTACCCAGGAGTTGGCTCAATGTGTTTCTTGACAGAGACACCCCTTTCTCCCTGCATTCCCAGCTTGTCCCACGTTCACTCACTTCCACCTTGGAAATCATTTGCCCTGGGCTACAGGCGAGCTCACCATCTGGTCTCCTGATAGCCCTTGTCTGGAACCGTCTGCGCTGACAGCCCTCCACGCACACCTTATTGCTTCTAACTTTGAACTTTTGCTTCTGCTGCTCTCTTTGCTTGGGACGTCCTTTTCCTTCCTGCCTCCACTGCCACCTCTCCCCACCCCCGACCCCTGACGACGCACTGGCTAGATGCAGTCTGTAAGACTGGGCCCAACGTGGGCCTTCCAGGAAGGCTCCCAGGAGGAAGTGCCCCTCATCTGAGTCCTGACACCACCCAGTAGGTGAGCACCCCACTCAGGCTGGATTCCTCTGGGATGCTCCAGGTTGGAGACTCTGACTGATAACTTTCTGTTTCCACCGTGTCTGAACACGGTAACTAGTTCATAGTGGCCCATAAATGTACCAAACTAACTCAAACCGAAACTGGCTCACCCCTCTCCTGCCTTATATTCTGAGAAGGTTGGGTGTCTGTTCCTCAGAGCAACTGCTTCTACTCTCCAGGGGCCTGGGACCGAGAAGCTGGGGCTGTAGTGACTCCTGACATCTGAATGCCTTTTATTCTTTTACTTCATTTTGGGAAAGTTAAGGTCACGGCTCAGAGCCTTTGCTTTCACTCAGTGACTTTTAGGCTTGTTAATCTAGGGACATACTGATTTTATTATTCCTGGACTAATCAGATACCACCTAATACTTGATTCTAGAATAGGCAAAGGTACAATAGGAGAATTAGTAGTTATGAAAAAATCTGTAGGAAAAATGTTTTAATTGAGACATCTCCGTGTACTAATTAATTTTTGTCTCACATTTTGGAACTGGGAAAGACAATTATTGACTAATTTTTGCTAGTCCCTGTCAGGGGACACCAGTGTTGCATAGGAATGACCTTCAAGAACCTCTGCTCCAGTTCAACAAAATTGTAGGTAACTCCACCACTTATTAGCAATGAGTCCTTTCATTTGATGAAAAGGAACACAATTTTATTTTGACTAATGGAGCTTGCTTCCTGAAAGAGGCTCACAGCCCTGCCCCGATTACTGAAGAAAGTAACCATTGACCGTCTTTTTCCTTCTTAGGCTGTGAGGTTGAGATTCTTGGAGTCAGACCCACCTACTGCCTAGAATATAAAAATGTCCCAACAGACAACAATTTCGCCAATGCGGTCAGCGATGCTCTCGACTCCTTCAAGTAAGTGTCCCACCTTCCTCGCTGTTAGTTGTTCATCTTTGTTTCCAGGGCCAAACGTGAATGCTAACATGAATTAAGAAGGCTTCATATAGGTGAAATAATGTCTCCGGGAGGCGGTGATTTAGTGAATGCATGTATCTCAGAAGACATTAATAAGTATTTGACAAAAAGGGAGGAGCTGGGGTAAAATCGGCTTAGAAAACAGCTCTCTACCCTCTTCTTGGACATGTACAAAGCAGTGAGCATATTAGAACAGAACACACAGTTTGGAAAACGCAGAAACTAGTAGTGTTGACCTGAAGAGCGCATGAGAGTTTGTCAGGGCAAGGGACCAACAAGACAGGTCAGGACAAAGCCACATGTCAGTCTCAGAAACCACTGGAAGTGGATATCAAGATGGGTCACCAGTTGGGGGTCTACATGAAAAATCAGCAACCAAGAGGCTGAGGGTATTGGGGTTCTTATGTTTCTAGGGCTGGACGTGGAGTCACTGTGGCTCCCGAGTGGGTCTCCTGGGTGGGGTCAAGGCTGAAGACCCATCATAGTCAGAGTGTAGAGACCATGGAAGGACCTTCCTCCTCCCAAGAGAAAGAGCCTGGCTTCATGCCGTGCAGATCCTGAGAGCCATTCTCCTGTAGGCGTGGCGTGCAGCCCACTAGCACTGGCCACGTGAATTGCCCTGGAACTGAGATTGCCTCGGACAGAGTTGACCAATAGATTCTGAGTCCCATTCTGGCCACCACCACCGCAGCCATCATGGGGAGCAATGGCCACTCCCAGCGAGCTGCGAAAGGGGAAGACAACAGCCTTTCCTTTGCTGCTTCTTAGAACAATGCTAAGAAGCATATCAAGAGGCCCCTCTGGGGCACATGAAGGTTTGGGTTCCGACTGACAGGTTAGAGAGAAATTAAGTTTAAAATACTTAAAACTGAGAAGGAACAGATTAAAAGTTTAGGGTATTGCGCGGGGGGGATGCTGAGCAGAGGGAGGGGAGGAAGTAACCTTTGAGTGAATATGCTTCACCACGTGCTTTGTAGCTCAGGCTATGTGATGCTGCTTCCCACCTGTTCCACTTTCTTTTTTTTGCTCCACATGTGAACTGGGATGCTCTGCTGTAGCCCAGTCTGTGCAGATGAAGCAGAACAGCATAGCAGGTGTGGCAGAGGAGCAGAGCTGCGACTCTTGGATGGGTCTATGTCTACATGGGACTCTTTCCAACATATACAAAGGCTAGCTATCCCTGCATTCTCTTGCCCTGCCAAATATGAAAATTTGGAACATAGTTGTCCCACAAACACCGCTAAATAACACAATGCTCTGTTTGGCAGTGTGATCTTCCTTGCATCCATCTTACCGTGACAGCCGCAGAGTCTCCCAGGGTGCACCCCGCAGTGGGTCGCAGGTGGAGGAGCCCCGAAGGAAGGAGCATGTTTGGAACGCCATCTGCACCGCTCTCAGCTCTGTCTCAAATTCCTAGCTGGAATAAGAAGAGCAGTTGGAGCTCTCACACACGAGTGTGCAAACACAAACACAGCACACACACACTTCTCCTGGTCAGTACTCCGTATGAGTCAGTAGAGTGTCTTTGTCAACTCTGCCATTAGTTTGAGGAGCAGAGAGATGGACATGGGGTAGACAGGCTTTAACAGAAGGCAGGAGAGGCAGTGAAGGTCTTGAATGTGGAGTCCTGCCCAGGGACAGCGTTTCAGCGAAGGGTCCACGTCAGCCAGGACCCTGAACGTGCCTCAGTAGGAAGGGCTACCTGGCCTCCACGTTTGACTGGGCCATGGCCGCCAGGGTGCACCGAGCTTCACTGACCCAAGTCATATGCTTGTGAGATGCCACTTTTGCACCTGGGCAACTTCAGTGTAGAGGAACAGAGAGGGGGAAGAGAATGGATGTTTTTAACCTCTGTTAGAAAGCTGCCAAAAACTTTATTGCCATTGACCCGTTTTGCTCTCCATCCAGGCACTCCATAGGTATTGTCCGCTGCCCCCACCCCAAACAGACATCCCTTACAAAAGCGTCTGCTGACTCTCTGACAGTTAGGCACCTGCCTCGGGTCTCACGCAGCCAGGAGGTGGTAGACCAGAGCCCAGTCCTGCCCATGGAGCTTCGGGCCCAGTCTTTGGGGGTCTCTCCTGAGGGTGAAGTGACTGAATACTGCTTCAGGGGTGACTCCTCCGTCCTCCCGGCTACCGCCCCCCTCCAGGATGCCCTGGCGTGGGGCCGGGCTGGGTGTACAGGGAGGGTTGTTTCTTCGCTGTTCTCCTCTTTGGGGCTGTGCAGTGCCTGGGGTCCGTGCAGGGCAGAGGTGGAATGGTGGCCTTGACGGTCTGCTCGGTGACTTAGGTGCTCTGCAGCACTCAGCCCTCCTTGAGGGGACCCTCAGGCAGCCTTCCTGCCCACATGGCCCCCTTGCCTGCCAAAGAAGGCAGCCGTCTGAGACCCACATTGCTCAGTTGTCCTCGCGGAAGTTCTGTTTGCAGGATGTTCATGCCTTGGGGGCAGAAGAAGGTGCGGGAGGCAGGAACTCAACAAGCCTGAGTAGCTCGTGCGGGGGTGCAGGGCAGGGGCAGCATCCGGGTGAGCGGTGGCGGGCATGGCCCCGGACGCTGGCCAGGGCCTGTCGGTGCTTCCAGGCCTGGCCGGGCCAGGCTGGCCAGGCTGGGCAGGCTGACTTGATGCAGCCTCTCCAAAGGTTGGTCAAGTAACAACGAGGCCAGAGGAACAGTGCACTGAGCTGCTGTCCTTTGTCACGCTCCAGGCTGTGACAACAGCTCCAACGTCCCATCCTTTGTCCCTCCTCCCTGTGACCACGAGGAAGAGGAGCGAGAACACAGGCTCCGCAAAGCCGTCCACAGGCACGTCAGTGTAGGAAAGACAAATGGGGGCTGTCTCATTCCCTTGGCCTCCCCTCTCCTGTGTCAAGTACTTCGCAGACCCCAGCTCATTAACCACCCAGCACAGCGCTTGAGGAGGTTTGTCAGATGGGAAGAGAGACTTAGAGATATTTAGAGACCTCCAGGTTAGCAAGGAGAGAAGTGGGAATTCCAGCCCTTTTCTAGCCCTGATGCCTTGTCAAAGTACAACTGTCACAGTTAAAACTCTGCCATGTGCTCACTACATAAGTACATGAGAATTAAGTTCAAGTTACTTTGTTTCTGAGGGAATCAGGAGATGACAAGGCTGGTTAAAAGGAGAATATAAGAAACACCGACAAAGAAAAGGATGACAGAGAATGATGGGATACAAGTATTGTTAGATGCAGAAATGCTTAACGCCTTAGAGGATAATCAAGCCGCAGTCTTTGAGACGGCTGTCTCTATCCGACAAGAGTAATTGCATCCTGTGGGTTTTCCACAAGGTAACAGCTAACTTGACGGGGCTCTAATCGGTAGTTAAGTCTGGTGACCCGTGAGCAAGCTTATTAGACGCTACTCTTGTATAACACTGGAAAGGTAGGCAGTTAGTTCTTTTTTGGCCTTATTTGTAAGTTTGGGATTGTTTTTGTTAACAGTCAGTAACTTCAACCATTCCTTTAAATTGCCTCCATTTCTTTCTCCCTAATTCCTTCTCTTTCCAACCCACTTCAGTCAGGAAAATGGATGAGGCATTATGAACTTTTTACATTGAAAAGAAGTCTGGACAGAATCCTGAGGTGACGGGAGACCTGCGTGTCCCTGAAACCCCAGGACTAGGGGCCCCTTGCAGCTCTCAGGTAACTGGGCTGATGACCACATGTCCTTCTGGCACGGTTCCTGGACCTTAAAGCTATAAAGAACCAATCCCAGATCTGCAGACATTTCCACCCATCGCTCCTCACCCAACTACTCCGTGACAAATGAGCTGACCTGTGATGGAGACCAGACCCATGTGGAAAACAGCTGGCGACCAAGAACTTGTCAGCTAAACTCCAATCAGGCGAGAGCTCCCAGCCCCTGAGGACGTAGGTCCCTAATGAATCAGAGAGACCCAACATCGAAGCCTTTCGCAAAAGGCACGTGTAGAAACCCCTGACTTGAAGTATCCCCAATCCAGTGTTGCCAGCATCTGGAGCTGACAGCTTCCTGACACAAAGCCATCAGGTACATCTGTGGGAATCCCTGGCTTTCTGATCACACCAGGGTTTGTGAATATGGCAAAGAGCCTGAAAGAAACCAGCCCAGTGGCTGCTGTAGTAAAGCGAGGTGTTTAAGACGAAATGACTTAAAAGCATTTCATTGAACTTTACTGCAATGATAACCTCGTTTGTGAAGTGTTCTCCACATTCAAGCCCCACACCTACACATAGGCAGCACCATGGGAATCGCTCATCTGGGATGCCGTGCGTGCAAGTGCACAAAGCATCTGCATGCGGAGGCTTCTCAGAGGAGATGACTGTTCTGGAAGGTTCCATATGTTCAAACAGTGGTGGAAGAAGTGCCATCGCCCATCAGTGTAATGAACTTGGGCCTCAAAAAAATTTAGGGGTATGTGTGGAAATGCCATTACACAGGAAGAACGTTCACCCACCACCTACACACTTGCAAACATTGAAGGGACTTTTGTTCTCTGCTGTCTCCAGATGCTGAGGGGGTGAGGATTAGTCATTCACACATTAGCAAGTATGAAAAATGACAGTATTGCCTATAATAAACACCTAAATAACAACCTAACCCAGTCCTCATTGTGCAAGATGGTGGTCATGACACTTGTAAAGAGCAGCCAATTTGTGTTGTTCTAAACAGAGAAAAGGACATTTGGCCAGCAATTTTGCTTACCTTGAAAACAGTGTGTCCTCAAAACCATGAATGGAGCCCGCCTCAGGGCAGGCAGGGGAGCGTCACAGCATCGTTCAATTAAACGATCACAGTGAAGAAAGATACTATTACTGAACTAAAGGAGTCCATTCGCTTGTGAACGTCAAAAGCCCAATCAAATGTGAACAGGAGTTGAAAAGAAAGTAAGGATTTATTAGCTGGGGAAATGGCATCATGCCTGGAGTCAAGCAAGTGCTCCAAGGCCTGGCTCCCTGGTGGCTTCCAAGGGATGGGCTACAGAGAAGGAAGATCATTAATCACGGCGGCTAAAGGAGTCGGGGCCGGGGCCCAGCAGATTGGCCGGGGCCGGGGCAGGCAGTGGGTGATTGTTGTGCAGGCCCCGAGGCCAGCCCCGGCCGTGTTCTGTCTGGCTGCATGTGGGTGTGTGCGGTCTGTAGGGTCAGTTCTGCTTCCACGGGCCTGGGGCTGAAACGCACCTGAAGGCAGGACGTTACCTTGAGCTTGACTGAGACTCTGCTTCTGCGATCAGCAGACCGGAGGCTTTGTCCTTAACACACTTTGAGACGGACCAGAATCTGATGTCCTAAGTGCCTGAGGACTAAGGAGGGGAGTGGACAGACAGAAAGGAGAGAGGGTCGTGTGAAAGAATTGGAGTTTCTGCACGGTTACAGTACCAGAACATTCTCTGGGGTCAGCATGGTGAACGATGTGGATGTGGACATTCACAAGCCCAGGCTGTAAAGCGCTCGGACCTTGGAGGGAGCCGGTTTGCATTTCCAGTTAGTCGTGTCTCAGGGCTCTGTGAGGCCTTGAATCACTTTGGTCTATTTCCTCATCTGCAAAATATGCACGTGCTTTCCTATAGGGACACCTTTCACTGCAGTTCCAGAATTTGAAGGCATGTCCAGCCCTCGGACATGAGCCTGTGGAGAAGGGAAAGTGACTCAGCTTCACTGTGTTGCCTTTGCCGTGTCTCACATTAGCTTTCTTGGGGCTGGTGGGATTCTTCTAAGAGAGTAAGAACCACTTCCGCAGGATCAACTGGGTTAAGCAGAACATGCTGTGGGCTGTGAAGATCTTTCAGCGTGTTCGGTGATTGCATTCTGGGTGCGGGGGTCAGGCCTACCTGGGTTTGGGTCTGGGCCCCGCCTCTCACTAGCTGCATGATGCTGGCAATTGATCATGTCTGTAAAAGCCCTCAACACAGAGCTGACCCAGAGGAACTATCATTTACTGAGCACTTACTATTGTTACACATTCCACTGACAGTTATAAAGCACCTACTGTGTGCCAAATCCTAGGTTAGAGCTAGGAGAATGAAGCACCACCCCTAGGATAAAAGACTTTTACAATTTAGAGAGTGAGAAGGACACATGAGTGGATGATTATGGCCAGTATGAAAAATCATAACCAGAGATGAACCTGGAGGCTGTGGGAGGAGTGGAGGGGCCACGCAGCTGAGTCCGGGCCTTGGAGCCCGCTTCCTGGAAGAGCAACACCTCCCCCAAGACCTGGGGGGTGGGCAGGATGTCGACTCTGGTCGTGTAAAGCACATGGTGTGAACTACTGGGCGGCTGTTTTGGTTCCCTGGTGCATTGCTAGGCCCAGGGCACAGCAGGCTCTGAGGATACACGTTCTTTCATTCCTCATGTTCTGAGTGTGGGAAGGCCGCCCGCGGGGGGACCATGCCACCTCATATGTGTGTGTGTGTGTGTGTGTGTGTGTGTGTTTGAAATATAGCTTTTTATTTATTTTTATACATTGAATACTACTCTGTATTAGTTTCAGGTGCCCAGCATAGTAGTTAGACAATCATATGCTTTACACAGTGATCCCCCTGATATTTCCAGTCCCTACCTGACCTGTATCACCTTGTTCATTGTAAGGGGTCAGCTCTGCCTGACCCTCCCAGGGGACTGGCTACTGGGTGGGAGTGGGGAAGGCCAGCGGGGCCCCTCTCGGCCGTGACTGCCCACTCTGCTCCCTGCAGGAGTGGCCGGGCTGACCTGGCGGCCATATACCACGAGCGCATCGACGTGGAAGGCCACCACTACGGGCCCTCGTCACCCCAGAGGAAAGATGCCCTGAAGGCCGTGGACAACATCTTCAAGCTCATGACCCAGTGGATCCAGGTGACCAAATACAAGGACCACTGGGCTAACCTGGCTCCTTGTCCCTCTCCTCTGTTTCCTTGACTGTTGCACCCCCCGGCACCGTCTTTGCTTCTCTTCACACATGCCAGGAGACCCCCTGCTTTACAGAGAGGCCAGTGGGCGGGAAATGACTGAGACCTGTGCCATTAGCTAGCTTGGCTGGCGAGATGGCCCCATTGCGAACCAAACCTCATAAGTCTGAGAGCCAGCTTGGCATGATCATGGAAGCCAGACCTGGGCTCCATCCCTCATTCTGCCACATCCTGGCTGAATGACTTTTTAAGCAAGGTATTGTTTTTAAAAAACTTTCCTGGGCTTTACTTTCACATCTGTGAAATGGGTGAGTGACAGTTCTCACAGTACCACGTGCATTTGTTGGAAGAGCCAAAGACAAGAATGTGTGGACACCTTGCGAGGCGAAAGGCCCGTGTGTCGTCTTTATCACTATTGGAGTGGGGACCGGGCTGCCCCACTCCCCCCCACAGAGCACTTCTGCTGAGCTTTTGAGCTGTCTCATCAGGTGGAAGAGTAGACAAATAGAATTGGGAAGTGTCTTTTTTCCTGGAACACATAGTGTAAACACCTCTTTCCAAGACTTCTTTCCAAGAGTGTCTCCCTGCCCACTTCCTCTCTCTCTCCCCCCACCCCTCTTTCTCAGCGCTGTCCTGACTGCATCTGTCCACCCACAGGAGCGGGAGCTGCAGGACAAGCTCAATGTCATCATCTTCTCGGATCACGGAATGACCGACATTTTCTGGATGGACAAAGTGATTGAGCTGAATAAGCATATCAGCCTGGATGACCTGCAGCAAGTGAAGGACCGAGGGCCTGTAGTGAGCCTTTGGCCAGCGCCTGGGAAACACTCTGAGGCAAGAGGCCCCAAGGCGGGGAAGGGCGGGCGGACTTTGGGCTTGATCTTTGTCCCGTAGCAGCTGAGTGCCCTCTGCCAAGGTTTCATCCTCCCTGTCTCTGTGCTCTCTTCTCTGAAATGGGCTTGCTGGTATCTACTACCCTGAATTTTAGTGGCCACTAAAGGAGATCAAGGATGGACAGTGCTTAGCATGTGGAGGGCTTAGCCTGGAATAGGGCTGTTTTATTATTGGCCCCGGTGTAGTGCTTCTCGGGCCAAATCAGACACGGACACAGAGCGCTCTTCCTCTGGAAGGCAGCCCCAAGCCTCTCTGTGTCCATCGGGGACCGGCGATGCAAAGGTGATGAATGAACCGGCTGAGGCCGTGCGTGCGGTGGGCCAGCGCCGAATCCCAGGGCCCTCAGTGCTGGGGGTCAGCTCCCAGCTCTGTCAGGACGGGCGACCTCCTGCCCAGCCCCTCTGCCTCGTCTCTGTCCGTGTCCACGGAGCTTCCATCCTGGGCCGCTGGAAAGCACGCGCACAGAAGCAGGCTGGGCCCGCTGCAAGGACGATGTACGTGTCACTTATTTCGGTTGTCACCATCCAAGGGGGGCGTTCCCAGGAGGGTGTCAGGCCAAGCTCGCTCCCCTCAGTCATTGCCTGCTGGGAACTCAGCACCCTGAGATAACTAGGCCTCTACTTACCCTTCTTCCCAAACACTAATTACAGCTGGCAGAACTTGGTGAGTCACCCTGAGAAAATGAGGAGGAATAGGGGGCACCTTTGGGTGACTGCTTTGCCCTGTGTGGCTGAGTTGCCTCCCAGACAGGCTTTGGGGCTTCTGCCCCCTCTCCCCAGAGACAACTTCTCTGAACTGGGATGGGTGTCTTCCTCGGGGGAGGCCCAGAGTGCTGCCCGTGGGGGTGCCGGGAACAGGCCTTGGGTGGGCCTGGTGCCTCCACCCACCCCCATGGCGGTGGAGCAGTGATGCCAAGGGGCAACGGCAGGTTGTCGGTATTGATGGAGCACCGGGGTGCACTAGGGTCCTTCCGTTTGGCCCCAGGAGACTCTTCTTCCAGCCTCACCCGCTCTCACATGAGTCGAAAGCCTGTCTGTTGTGGGATCGAGGAACACAGTTGCCAACAATGCCAGTCGTGCCCGGCTTTGCCCCATTCCCTGGTGGACCTCCCTCTGTTCCCAGGGAGTGGAGATGCTAAATGTGTTCCCATGAAGGTCCCATGAACTCCCTAAAGGTGGAACGGGAAGACGACTTTACACATTGGCAAGTGCCACAGTAAGTGCTTCTTGCAAAGAAGCTCCGTTTTCCTGGCAGGGAGCATCATCCCTGTCTCCAGTTTGGCTCTTAGGAAGGTGCCGTTTCCAGAAAGCTGAAGCATCAATGGTTTATGAGCTAGAGAGCGCTTCTTCCAATGTGGCGTTGAAGCCAGGCAGTTGCAAACCGCCTGAAGCAGTTGATAGATTATTCCAAGGCGGGGGCTGTGTCTGGGTGACAGCTTGTCATGTGATGGACCCGGCAGCTGGTGGGAGCTGCCCTAGGGCATCAGATTCTTTCCCCCTCCAAAGGCTTCCTGGGAATGCACCCTACTTCCCTTAAGAACGATGGTTTTTCTTACGTAGGAAATTGTAGCTCATGGGACCATTGGAAACCCTCTACTAAACAGCCTGAAGACCAGTTAATTTCAGTTTAGTGGATAAACGCAAATTTATATTCAATTATACCCGGGAAGAATTGCTGACTAAAGGCCAGCAAGTCAGTGTTGGCCAATGAATTTTAATTGTAGCCACGAACACTTAAGCTGTTGTTAAATATTGGAAATATGTGCAGAGTTTACATCTTCATCATGAAACTAGCCATGTAATTAGTGGCAAACAACTACTGGTACTTGTAAGGTTCAAGTGTAGGTAGGACATAGTGTAGCTCAAGTCAAAGAACAAATCTTTCTTTGATCTTAGTGGTACTCAATTTATCATTTTCCCTTTAATTTTATTTTGGTATTTTGACATAAGTGTTTGTAATCTGTTCCTTTATCATTTAGTAACTACCAAAAAATTATTATAAAGTATGTGTAAGGTATAAAGGATAATGCTACCATGGCACCTTATGTTCAATAAACAGTTAAGAAATAGGACGTTGCCATCACCTATGCTAACGCCCGTGTGCCCTTCCCAGACCCCATCACCTTTGCAGCCCCCCTGAGAGAGAAACCAGCGATCTGAATGTTGAGTTATCATTTCCCCAATTCTTTTTATAGTGGTACCATCTATGGTCTTTAGCGTGGTAGTTATATGAACTTCATGTGATAGGAAAACTCTTGTCTGTATTTTTCCGCAACTTTTTTTTTTTGTCTCAAACTGAAATCCCCGGGATTCTTTCAGGTGTTCTGTGTACCTGTAATTCCTCCTTCTCCATGGCTGTATAGTAGTCCGCTGCCAAGACACACCACCATTCATTTGTCCCTTCCACTGTTGCCGGGCTTTGGGGCTGTTCCAGTTTGCAGGATATATCCCACTACAGGCTGATGGGTGCCCATGTCTGAGGGGTGCTTCAGTCTCATTACATAAAGCCACCTTGTTTTCCAAAACACACAGAAGTTTCTCATTTTTGCATAGTCACATCTGTCCGTTGATGCGGTAATTTCTTTCTTTAGCGTTAGAAGGTCCTCCCTCTCCTCCAGGTCCAATAAATATTCACTTACATTTAAAAAGGGGAATGAAAAACTGGTTGCTCTTGATTTTCTTTGCAGATATACAACAAACTGAGAACTGTGGAGCACATGACTGTCTACGAGAAAGAAGACATTCCAAGCAGGTTCTATTACAAGAAAGGCAAATTCGTCTCTCCTTTGACCTTGGTCGCTGATGAAGGATGGTTCATAACTGAGGTAACTATAAAATATATGACAGTGTATTCATTAGACAACTTCTATCAAACAACCAAAGATAAATAATTATTCAGCTTTTACACTTAAAAGATTTGTTTTCACTTCAGTGTCGTTCATGGTATCATTTCGTTCTTTAGAGAATCAAGAGGCTTGGCCAAGGGACTTAGATACAAACTGTGGACTCAGACCCAGAGTCACAGTTTAGCCTGCGGGGCTCCAGACTCGCCGTATTTTAATGGGCGGACCCTAACTCAGTCACCTGGGCTTACCATGTGACCTATTCAATTTCAAGTGGTACTGTTACTGTGAACCAAAGTGGATGCTTTAGGACAGCAAAAATCAAAGAGGTTCTGAGCTTTGCTTTTGCCTTTAAGAGAAATGTTTGGCACTCAAAACTCCATAGATCCAGGTTCCCCTCCCGCCGCCTCGCTGCCCCCCATTTGCCAACGTGATGTTACAGAAGAGATTATCTTGTATCTGGGATCCAAATCCTAGTTGCCTCATGTCTGAACGACACTAGACGCCGCCTAGTTCACCAGACTCTTTGGTCAGCTTCTGATATTGGGCCAGCGCATGGAGGCCCAGCCCTTCAGGGGAATCGTGGTCATGCCCCGTTAGGGCACTGATGGCGCGGGTTACTGCAGGCGTGAGTTTGAAGGAGGGCTGTGAACAGAGCAGGCTGAGGGAGAAGGGAGTGGCAGGTGTTGGCACACGAGAACCACCGGCCGAGGCCCTGAAGTAGGAGGCCTAAAACTAGTATTGAATCTGCCAGAGGGAGGTCAGGTGGTGATCACAGACAGCAGCTGGGCAAATGAGTGGATGTCTAGGGGCCTGGGTGTGGGGAAATGGGGGTTCCTGGACGTGAAATTCTGCCGTTCAGGAGGACTGAGCTGTTCCCGCGGGCTCTCAGACAGAGAAGCACCTGGTCACCCAGGAAACAAAGCAGACCTGGTCAGCAACGTCAGCTGTGCCGCTCCTGGGCTGAGCTGGGCCCTTCTACTGACTTGGCTTCCTAGGCCATATGATTTTGTTATTTTTAAAAAATTTTATTGATTGATTTTAGAAAGAGGAAAGTGGGGGTGGGGAGAGAGAATCATCGATGTGATATAAGACAGAGAAACATCAACCAGCTGCCTCCTCTACGCGCCCTAACTGGGAACTGAACGTGGAACTTAGGCATGTGCACTGACCAGGAATCAAAACTGGCAACCTTTTGGTTCACAGAACATCGCTCCAACCAACTGAGCCCTGCAGCCAAGGAAGGTCATGTGATTTTGAAATTTCCAAGAGGGTCCCTCTGCCTAACACTCTCTCCTCTAAGAACCAAAATGCTTCTTTTTGCGTTATCACACTATTTGAAATTCACCTGGCATGAGATTACTCTAGGCCCACAGCACTTTCACCTGTAGTGGTGTTCTCAGGACTTTGCATTGAGCACACATGAAGTCAAGTGGGTGTCTATCCAACTTCATTGTGTAAAGCCAACTTTCCAAGTTGTACAAAAGGCCTTATTCCTGCAACGTTTTCAATTTAGAGAATTCTGGCGCAATTTCTTTTGAGTTTCTTAAAGCAAATAGACAAGGAGAGTTCATTTGCCGTTGAGAGGCCGGTTCATGGTGTGGAGTGAGAAGGCAGAGGTGATTTCGGGTAACTTAGGGGAAAACAGGCTCAGGTAGGGACAGCGGCAAAGCCAGAGGTCATCATTAAGAGACTGGACAACTAATGAGGTGCCAGGGGAGAGGCCCTGTGCCCCCCAGCAGGACGAGATGGGCACCGGGGAAGCCACTGCCGCCACAGGGGCTGTTGGCGAAGGTTCAGTCTAGAAGGCAGACACGGGGTTTGGCAGTAGCATGATTTTCTGATGAGTGATTAACGCAGTGATAGAGGACCCAGGGGTATCAGTCAAGATGTTCTTGGTTATAAGTCATAGGCCACTTGCGTAAATGTGGTTTAAATAATAAAGATTTATTATCTCACAGAAGTAGAAGGCAGCTGGAGGTAGGCAGCTGCAGGGTTGGGTCCTCTAGCAACTCAGTGGCATTAAGGCCCTGAGTCAGCTCTTCTGCAATTCTTTAGGTTTTCCCCTCAGGGTCGCAAGATGGCTGCTGCAGCTCCAAGCATCACATCCCTTCTGTTATCCCAAAGCAAGAAAGAAGGGGTGTGGCTTTTTCTCACATATCTGTTACTTTTATCAGGGAGAAAAATACATATCCCAGCATCAGAGGCAGACACAGGTTTTGTGGGACTCTGGCAATTGTAAAATTTGGGGAAGGGGTCTCTCTTTAAGAAAAGAGAGTATAAAATTATGAGTGTAAAATTAGGGGCAGGGACTTGGAAGACACCCATGTAAGTGAGAAGCCTGATGCTTAAACTTTTTAAACTCTACTGTGAATCCTCCTCTGCCCAGAACCCACTAGCAAACTTGCCCTTAGGTCTCATCAATCAACTCACCAGCGTGGCTAGGAAGTCCCTGCCTTGGGTCCACTTTGGGGCTAAGACCTGACCCCGAGCTGAAGCGCAGGCCACACCCACCAGACAACAGTGATGCAGGGGCTGGGGGTGAGGCAGACAAGGTCCTTAGAGCTTAGACCAGCCAAGAAAGGGCAGGGAAGGACGGTAAGGACAAAGTGTTCCTGGGCCCCTCAGAAAGCCCAGTGACAACGCCGCCATGAACAAAGTGTTCCTGGGCCCCTCAGAAAGCCCAGTGACAACGCCGCCATGCCTCCCCTGCCCCATCTCTGCTTCCATTGCGCCTTCCCACCACCCTGCGGATAGTCCGAGGACCTGCTTCCCTACAGAAACTGGCACATTCCAGCATCTTCTGAGGGTGAAGCCAAATGGTAACTGCATGCTATGTTATATATTGTATTATTTTTGTATGCATCACACAAATACACAGACACACATCCGCACGTATGTTTGCATAAATCAGAACTAGGGATCCCCGTGATTTCACTGTATGGCTTAGGAAAGGGCGAGAAGCCACGAGAACAGAAGGTCAGAATGCCTATAATCCCCTTCACCTTTTCACCCATTCCCCCCCACCCACTTTCTTCCAGAATATAGCCAATAATATCGTGAGTTTACAAGGTGACAAATGATTACTAGAATTAGTGGGGCGATTTACATGGTAAGGTATAAAAATGTCAAATCACTATGTTTTATACTTGAAACTAATACAGCCAACGTGAGATTGTACAGCACTGTACTTAAATAAAAAATAAACCTAAAAAAGGAAGAATGCCTAACTACTGGCAATTACTTAAGCACTTTTTAAAATACATATAATCATTTCAGAAAGGAGATAATTTTTAAAAAATACTTGAAGCAGAAACTTTTTTTAGAAAGGAAAGAGATCAGAAGGAAGACATACAGGATGTGAAAAAAGTAAAATTGGTTCTGAAAGGTGAGTGACTGTCAATGTTATCTCACATGATTTAATTACTAAAATTGTATGCTATCAAACTGACCTTCATTTATCATGCCTGGCTCCTGAGAAACTTGAGAATGACTCATTCCCCAGAGTTTCAGTGACATGAACATAGTTCTTTTACCCTTTGTAGATAATAAATATGTCAAGAAAAATTTCTTCTTAAAATTTTGGTCAGCAATGATGGTGCAATGGTAATAACTACCTTGAAGTAAATACCTCCTGGATACTATTTATAATTCTCAATGACTCTGAGTCACGGATATTGTGAGTCTAGAAAATAACATACCACGGCATACAGTGGAACGCAAACGTGGTCCTGAGCTTCCTAGCAGCCAAGCCCAACAGGAAAGGACGATCAATTGCACTGATGGAAGAACTTACGGTGTCTACAACATGCAAACACAGATGTTTCTCTGGAAGATCAGCGTTGTCCTTGTGGCCTGAGAGAAATTTAGGTCTCTTTTAATTGCTCCTTTTTGTACCTTAGTTCTCTAAACAAAATACCTCAGTCATTTTACTCCTCTGTTTAAATTTGTGGCCTTTTCTTCTTAAGGCTCATATGTAAAAAATACAATTTCTGATTCTACTTTGCTATAACCTTGGGGTCCTATTTCTTTGTCTTCCAAAAAAAATCCTAGAAACAGATACCCACCTCTCCTTGTTGCCTTAGACGTGCTTCTTTGACACCTTTCTGTGGTCTCCAATACTTCCTTGACTCCAGAGAACTGAACACTCCATTCTCGAGCCTGTCCCTGCTCTGTGCCCGGGCCCCTCATCTCCCACACTTCTGTCTCAGTGTCCCCCCGACGTGGTAAAGGGACTCTGGGTTTTGTGCCGCCCCTGCATCCCAGTGCGCAGTCCCGCGGGACGGCCCTGAGCCCGCCGTTGCCACGGCCGCCCGAGCAGACGTCCCAGGCCCGCCTCTGGAGAGCCCAGAAACATTTCCTCTGGGGCAGGCCTGACGCGGGAAGCCACGGAGCCAGGACAAGCTGCTGCTGGCTGGGGGCTAATAGTCTAGAATCCCCTCTCCCTTGCTCCCTGCAGCTGCCATGCCGTAAACCTGCACAATTTTTCTTCCATTCCCATAGAAACACCAACTTTTTGCCACCAGGTTAAGTTTTTCAGACTCTAAGGCAGCGGGCTGCTCTAACAGGAAGACTTAACTGAATTAGGGTTTTAATTTCCTTTTCTTTTTTTAATGGTCGCTTAGAACACTGTCACTGAAAAAGATACAGAGGGGAAAGCAGATTTCATTGGTCACTTGGAAAGGCACAGTCACCCAGTGTGACCGCTGACACTGCTCCTTGCGCAGAGGCCCCCCCGCAGATTCTGCTCCGCACCCTCCGACGTGCAGACTGGATTTCCCACCACGGCCAGTCCCTTCTCTTCGCCGCCCGCCCCCGCCCCCACGGGCAGAAATCTGAAGGCTCTCATCGTCCTCAGAGAACTAAAATGAAGACACAAAATACCCAGGCCGCCTGCCTGTTCAAGTCCCAGCTTTTCACACCTGCCACACAAGGAAATAGGGCTTCCTAGCAGATGCCATCACCGCCACTGTCCTCTGGAA